TACCAGAGCTCCCTCTCTCACAGTTTAGGAAATACAAATTCAGAATACCAGTGCTAGGGGAAGGCTTTCTATCTCTGTTGTCTCTGGAGGAAGGCCCTTATGTCCTTTCAAAACCTGTGCTCCCAGAGTTCCTTGGAGGTCTCCTTCAGTCTTCCCCTGAGTCTAGATGGTTCTCAGCACAGGGACCCTGGTCTAAAGGATGTGCTCTGTTCCCAGCTCTTCTTTCTTGGTGGTGCTGAGGTCCCTCCTTCTTTACTTGTTTTTCTCTCCTTTATTTCTTATAAGATAAAAGATGATGCAAGCCTCACCCCAAGGAGACTCCCCTTACATCAGATTAGGGCTGTGAGTAAGGGGGTTGCATCCCACTCTAATCCTGCTTCATTAATAAAACAAACATAGCCTGATCTTCTTTAACATAACCTAATCCTACCTCATTAACCACAGGTAGAAACTAAGATTTATAACACACAGCACAATTACATCAGATCACAAAATGGAGGACAACCACACAATATTGAGAATCATGGCCTAACCAAGTTGACACACATTTTATGGGGACACAACTCAATCCATGACAGAATGATTATGAAAACTGTAGGAGTGGGCAAGATCACCTGAGATAGGAGTATATATTGGAGATTGAAGAAGGCAGAAGACAGACCTAACTGGGAAGCAGCTAAGGCTGAGGCAGCATCCACAGATGGGAAAGGGACAGGAAGAGCACAAGGCAGATTGCCACTGGCTTAATGTGTTTATTGGTTTTCTCCCTTCCCTTACCATTAGGGTTACGGAGATGTACTTCCAACTGAAAGAAATGAATGAGAAGGTGTCTTTCATAAAGGACTCCTTACTGTCTTTGGACAGCCAGGTGGGACACCTGCAGGACCTTTCTGCCCTGACTGTGGATACTTTAAAGGTCCTTTCTGCAGTTGACACCCTGAAAGAGGATGAGGCTCTCCTGGTCAACAGAAAGCATTCTACTTGCAGAAAACTTCCCCACAGCTGGAGCAATGTCATCTGTGCAGAGGTTCTAGGCAGTACGGAAATCTCTGGCGAGAAGAAGTACCAGTATTATAGCATGCCTCCTTCTTTGCTGCAAAAACTGGCCAGAAGCCAACATCCCCCAAGAGTGAAGAGGGAGCATCTTCTTGAGATTACAGATCGTCTGGGACAGGCTCCAAATGTAAGAGATAACCAGGAAGAGCAAGAAACAAAAAATGGTATAGCTACTTCTGAGGTGTCCCTCAACTGGCAATTACATTCAAAGCATGGCCAATTTCTCCTGGTCCCTTCTTATCTAAAGCAAGTTTCTTTTTCTGCAGAAACTGCTTTGTCTATGTCCATACCATCTGAGGAAGCAGGAAAAGATATGCTGGCAACTGAACAGGTCATCAAGAGTGAGGTCCCTGTTCTGAGTTGGCAGACACCAGTTGTCTCAGACCAGAGGTCAGTAGCCGAACCCAAGGAGCAGTACAAGCCAATCACTCAGGTACCAGCAAAACAAGACAAGGGGGAGCAAATTCTACCCACTTTGAGTTCCAAACCTACACTCTTGAAAGCAACCTCCCTTCCTTCCCAAATGGAGAGCATGCGGACAGCAGGCGGATTTATGAACTGGGCATTTTCAGGAGGTGATGAAACTGGTGTGTGTAGCGTCAAGAGAAAATGGCAAACCTGCTCACCCTCCACTTGTAACAGTGACTCAACTCAGAATGGACCCTGCCAGACGCAAAGCCAGGCCAGATTCCTATGTGAGAATTCAACAAGATTGGCTCAATGTAGTGATAGCTCAGAGGTGGGACCATGGTTCCAGCCAAACTCTTCCTTTTGGATCAATCCTCTCCGCAGAAGCAGGTCCTTCATTAGGAGTCATAGTTTTAGATTCCACAAGGAAGAGAAATTGATAAAGACCTGTAAAATTAAAAGTAAGGAGTAAACTCTTTTTTCTTTGTTTTAATTGTATTAAATCCTTTACATTGCTCTAATTTTTTAAATCTATTACTTTAAACGGTACAACCATTCTCCCAGTCTTTCTTTAAAACAAAATAGTTTCCTGATACTGTCTTAAACTTTCTTTCTCTTGTAAATCACTTTTCTTACAGATCTCTCACAATCCTCTGAAATAGGGCCATCAGCATGGATCAAAGCAAAAATTCTATCCAAAGACAGGAAATTGTCAAAGAAAAAGAAGAAAGCACAAAGACTGCAGGTGCCAGTAAGTTTACACATATTCTGTCTTTTAGATTTTTGGCAATTGAGGACATAGCCTATTTTATTTTATTATTTATTTATTTTTTGCCTTCTCCTTCACCCTAATTAATATGTATCTATCTTCAAGTTAGTGGTTTACCCTCCCTTCCTCACCCACACCTGGTAATCATCAAAGGATATTTCTTTTTTTGTGAAACACTTTTCTTGACTTTTTATAGTAGTGGTCTCATACAATATTTGTCCTTTTGTGATTGACTAATTTCACTCAGCAAAATATCCTCTAAGTTCATCCATATTATGAGATGATTCACAAGATTCATCATTGTTCTTTAATCTTGCATAGTTTCCATAATGTGTATGTACCATAGTTTATTGACCCATTCCTCTATTGATGGGCATTTAGGTTGTTTCCATCTTCGTGCTATTGTGAATAACGCTGTGATGAACATGGCTGTATATATCTGTTCATGTCGTGGCTCTTATTTCTCTAGGATACACACCTAATAGTGGGATTGCTGTATCATATGATACTCCTATTTCTAACTTTTTAAGGAAGTCCCATACCATTTTCCACAGTTTTTGCACCACTTTACAGTTCCACCAACAGTGTAGGAGGGTTCCAGTCTGTCTGGAACCTTCAACAGCATTTGTTTTTTTTTTTTTTTTTTTAACTTTGCTATTAGTGAGATGATAATCACTTTGTTGTTTGGTTTTGCATTTCTCCAATGCTTAATGGTCACAAGCCTTTCTTCATTATTTGTCAGCTGACTAAATGTCTTCTTTGGTGAAGTGTCTGTTCATGTTCTCTGCCCATTTTTAAATTGGATTATTTGTATTTTTGATGTTATATTGTTGAAATTTTCCATAAATTTTGGAGATTAGCCCCTTGTCCAATATGTCATTGCCAAAAATTTATTTCCAGTTTGTTGGTTCTCTTTTTACTCTTTTGGTGAAATCTTTTCATATGCATAAGTATCTAATTTTTAAGAGGTCCC